AAGGTGGAACAGTGATAGCTATAAATTCTAGTGTGGAGATTAATGACTCACGAGTGGATATTCCATTTTTTAATCAAAGTCAAGTACAGCTGGCAATTAATGCAACTACACCACAAGATGCTGGAAACTATACCTGTCTCGTTATTAATGATGTTGGTAATTCATCAGATACAACATCACTTGTTATTCAAGGTGTGTTTTCCTGGTGTATTGTATTGACTTGGGTTTATACAATGTAACTTTCAGTAACTATCAACGAAGAAAAAGCAAGTCATGCTTAAAATGAGATGGTAGTGAAATTACTGAAATGAGATTTTTGCACCCCTTGCTTTTATTTTTAAGAACCCTCATAATTTTTTCAATTTGCCATGTGCCTTTCCTTATTTTTTTGGGTTACACCATTAATTTGCATTCAGCACCCTTACAGGTGTTAACCCCTGAAAAGGAATTCACAAGAAAGAGAAGAATCATGATTTAACTTTATTAGTCTCCTAACTGGTAATGAGCCTGTAAAAGAGCACTTAAGAGTACTCTTAATAAAACTGAAAAAAAAGGGATAATCTGTTCTAGGGGATTAGGCTCTTTCTGATTCACAGTGCTTCAATAATTCAACCAAACACTTTTTTTTCACTGGTACCCTGTATTCTTTGTCAGTCTATAGTTACGTTTTGAGTAGTGGGGGAGAACTATGATTGTACATGAATTGTTGTTGAAGAATGTATTATTATGTAAATTAACTCTACAGTGGAACCAAACCGACCATTGAATGTGTCAGTTGACTCCAAGAGCTCACAAGTAGTGAATATTTCCTGGATTGCTGGTTTTGATGGGAACAGTGCAATTCAGAACTACACAGTGAAGAGAAGTCTAGATAATGTAGACTTTGTTGATGCTGTCTGTCAAGGATCCCTGTCAGATAGTTCCTGTGTGGTGTCCAGTGCAAGTGCTTCTGTTGGAAACCTCTCACCTTGGACATTATATTACTTTAAAGTGTTTGCAAGAAACATGGTTGGCACTAGTGATGGGAGCCCTGTAGTGAATGCTACCACAGATGAAGAAGGTGCTCTACACTTATATAAACAATGTAGTTTTTTCAACATTTACACACATGTAATCTGTAACATTTGTTGTTGCTTTCACCCAACATTACTCAGGCACAGATTACTAGCTATTTTAATACCAAGGTGAATCAATTTGATTGTTTGCATGTTTAAAATGTGACAGCTTTTTTGCAGCTGATGGAAAATAATGCACACAAGAAAAGCTAGTAAATGTGCTGGCTGTTTATTTATTTTCTTTATCCTTTCACCACTATTGTTTCCATGTACAGCTGTTTGTAAAAAGGGTCACTGGCTTAGGAAAGTAAGAACAAAAGGTCAACTTTATTGCTTTATTGCTTTTCAAACTTTTCAGTTCTTTCTTTGCTTGTTTTCCTTGTTTACTTGGCTTTGCTTCCTTGCTTCATTTTCTACTCTTTTGTCGCCACATTTTTGTATGTAATGTTTATGCTAAGGTACATGACTTTGTACTGTTTGCCTTTGAAACTCAAATTAACTTTGTATGCCAGAGCCTGGTGCTGCACCTAAAAATGTGACAGGACAGAACAGCAGCTCAACCAGCATCGTAGTCATGTGGGATGAAGTTCCAGCTGATCAACAGAATGGTATCATCACGAGTTACACCATTACTTACAAGTCACACACAGAGAATGATAATGGAAGTGTTCAAGTAAATGCCTCTGTTCATCAGACAGAATTGACAAATCTAAAGGAGTATGTCAACTACAATATCACAGTGTTTGCATCTACTGTGAAAGGAGATGGACCAGCCAGTGATCCAATTGTTGTAAGAACAGACCAGGATAGTAAGTTATCTTTCTTATCAAATTTTTTTCTGGATGTTTTGGTAATTTCTTAGTGCTTTGTATAGACTGATTGAAAAACTTTAATCAGTAGANTTTAACTTTATTAGTCTCCTAACTGGTAATGAGCCTGTAAAAGAGCACTTAAGAGTACTCTTAATAAAACTGAAAAAAAAGGGATAATCTGTTCTAGGGGATTAGGCTCTTTCTGATTCACAGTGCTTCAATAATTCAACCAAACACTTTTTTTTCACTGGTACCCTGTATTCTTTGTCAGTCTATAGTTACGTTTTGAGTAGTGGGGGAGAACTATGATTGTACATGAATTGTTGTTGAAGAATGTATTATTATGTAAATTAACTCTACAGTGGAACCAAACCGACCATTGAATGTGTCAGTTGACTCCAAGAGCTCACTAGTAGTGAATATTTCCTGGATTGCTGGTTTTGATGGGAACAGTGCAATTCAGAACTACACAGTGAAGAGAAGTCTAGATAATGCAGACTTTGTTGATGCTGTCTGTCAAGGATCCCTCTCAGATAGTTCCTGTGTGGTGTCCAGTGCAAGTGCTTCTGTTGGAGACCTCTCACCTTGGACACTATATTACTTTAAAGTGTTTGCAAGAAATATGGTTGGCACTAGTGATGGGAGCCCTGTAGTGAATGCTACCACAAATGAAGAAGGTGCTCTACACGTATATAAACAATGTAGTTTTTTCAACATTTACACACATCTAATCTGTAACATTTGTTGTTGCTTTCACCCTACATTACTCAGGCACAGATTACTAGATATTTTAATAAAGGTGAATCAATTTGATTGTTTGCCTGTTTAAAATGTGACAGCTTTTTTGCAGCTGATGGAAAATGATGTACACAAGAAAAGCTAATAAATGTGTTGGCTGTTTATTTATTTTCTTTATCC